GGGTCTCCTGTGCGCCTGTGATTTTCTCTGGGAACTCCATATCCACTACCACATATCCCAGGTAGGGGTAACTGGTGTCACTTAATCCCCATATAGCTAACCCGGACACTGGCTGGATAGGAACATCAGGTAAGTGGCATTTGTACCAGGTCTCAAAAATAATGGTGACTTGAGAGCCACTATCAAGAAGTGCATCACACTGATGGCCATTTATCCTCACTGAAACAATAGAAGACGGACCAATGAGACCTCGGGGAATGTCTCTTCTCAATGTGAATACTTCACTTTTGTTTGCTGAACACACGGTGTTGCTTTTATCTGTCCCTGGGGTAGATGGCTCACTCTGCTTAGCTTTCCGCAGCAGCCGTATCAGCTTCTGAATAACTTTCGTCTGGTTTTCTGCATTTCCACATTTGGCAGAAAAATGTCCATTTCCGCCACAGCGATAACAAAAATTTCCATCAACATCACTAGAGGCTAGTTGTCTGTTTCCATGCTGTACTTGTTTCAGTGGGCCTATTCTTAAAGCTGCAGCAGGGGTATCAAACATATTTGACTTTTTAGCTGCCAGTCGATTTTGCAACTTTTTCACTTGTGCTCTCAAAGCAGCTACTTCAGCATTAACCCCTGCCTCTAAGGTGGGCACCTTTGGGATTGATTCTGTTTCCCTGTAGTCCACTAAGGCTTGGCGAGGTGGGGTTGCCAGAGAAGCAAACATTGACTTCAATTCTTTAATTTCAGATCTCAAGTTCTGAATATCCAACTGACTATTATCCATATTAAAATCTGTATGAACTCGATGAACAGATGTATTCAGCTTCCTTCTGGAGAATTCATATTCCTCTTCACCGCGGATCTCACTTAAAAGCTCTAAAAATGATGGAGGACTTTCCTTACGTTCTCGGAGCTTAAGCTGAACCATCATCATATCTGAGTGTACAGCCCCTCTAAGAAGCTGTTCCACCCGGGCACGATCAGCCCGGTAAGGAGAAAGACCTCCACGACGAACCACTTTGTTCAGTGACAACTCCAAACGCCTTAGAAAGTCAGATAATTTTTCTTTTGGCTGCTGCTGTAGCAACCGAAAAGCAAAATATAAGTCCTCACCTGTCTCAGTAGACCCGAACGCACTGTCAATGGCTTCTAAACACTGAGCTGGACTGACTTCAGGGTCAGCGGTCCGCACAGCCTGCACCACAGCTAGAGCAGGGCCCTTAAGACTCTCAATTATGCGCCGTCGTTTCTCCTTAGCCGAAGAATCACTCTCTTCCACCATCAGCCAGGCGTGCTCCAACCAATGATCTAAGGTTTCTTCCCCAAGAGGGGTTGGCAACATTCCTGAGAACAACCGCAAACGTCGGTAACTGTTATTCTCCCCAGAAGGTCTCCCCATTTTAGCTAGCATATCACCAACTGCTCGAATTAATGACTCAGCAGAGCCATCAGAAGGGGGATTCTCAGGCAGGTTCTGATCATCATCATCCAACCCGGGACTTTCAGCCACCAGAACAATCCTCCACCGCTCTGTTCCTCCCAATGGAATGACTTCAGGGGGGACCTTACTAGTATCTAGCTTCTCCTTGCATTCACATAGGACTGTCAGACAATCATGCTTCCGACTGTAGGTCCGTCCTCTCACACGAACTCGGCCTAAAGCCTTGATTGTTTCCATTGTTGCTTCAATATGGGCAATCTCAGTCCCTTCTGGAACCAGCACCACAAGAGAATGTGCTTCATCCAATCCTTCCCCCCGGCACCATTCTTTGAATTCCCTTACTAACTCTATGTACGGTGAAGACATTTTACATAGGTTTGTTTATTTATTTATTCTTCTCAATAACTATTTTATATTCTTTTCCTTTTATAATTTTTTTTTTTATAATAATAAAAGAAATGCTACTATGAAATTTTTGTGAAAACTTGAAACATCTGTTGGACTAACTGTATTTATTGCATTAATTAACGTTTTATCCCGGACGAGCCCCCATTTTATGTAGCGCCCCCTAGCGTGTCTGGCTATGTGTTGGAGTGCGCCCCCGAATCCTTTCCTTTGATATAAGAGATCTCTCTCTAATGTTAATCAATGCATAAAGGGAACTAATCATTTACCTCAGTAATATAACACTCCTTTACCCTCTTTTTAGAACAAAGAGGTTACCTTTACCAATGAATTATCAGCAGGGGAAAAATGTACAAACATAATAAAGTTTGACTGTTTACTGGAAATATATACATAAATTAAAAGGTTACTAAACAGGATTTCCCACCCCAATCAGGATAATGCCACAAATTATTATACATACAATTCCAAAGCCGGCAGTTTTATACTAAAAAAATACACATAAAATGAAAACCTGAGGTGAAATTTGGTACCCAATCGAGTCAGCGGTGCAGGCCTGAGGCGAGGCTGGTGAGCGGAGAGGCCTAAAGTAACTGGCCGCTTCGCGTCAAAGCGCTAAAAAAAAATGAACTTGCCCTGTTATGGCTGGTTGTCGACGTCCTCACACGGGCAGCGCTGTGGTGGCGCAGTAGATGACAATGGACGTCCACATCCCCAAACAAGGGTTTCGCCGGGGATCGAAGTTCGTGTTCCTGGGCGTAAAGCAAGAGAGCCGCGTAGGCTACTCGCGCGCGCAGTCCCTGGACGCTTCCATTAGCAAGCTAGGTTTTGCTAGCATTCTCCGGCTCGTCGCGGTAAAAAAAATAAAAATAAAATAAAAATGTACTCAAACACCGCATATAATTCTAAACAAAGCGGGGAGAATGTTCTTAAGCGACACACTCGCTGTCTATCGCTCACATTTCCCCGATCACCAATATAAAGCTGGTGTTTTACCAACTTTTCTTTACTCCTTCTTCTCTTCGATCCTCTCACGCGCCGTCCTTCCCCCCCGCCTCTCTCTCGCCGCTGATTGGATCGTTCCTCCAGGTAGTTTTTTTTTTTTTTTAAAGTTACTAAATACTTATTACATATAAAGGGATATCACACTTTTTTTTTCTCTCTCAATGTGATGTTAATACTTCAACAATAAACAGAACATCAACTTAAATACATCAACCAACCAAATTAACCACCCAAAATTCCCATAGGGCTACATCCACATGAAAGTTTTTTGTTACTGAAGTG